TCTACGGTACCAAATTCGAACGTCCTATGGACGTCCTGAATGTCCCGACAGGACGTCCTGAGGATATCCATGGGACATAAGTGTGTTATCAGAGATATTTAGGAACTATATTCCCACCATTATAAAAATGTCTCTTGCTGATATCGATCGGCACTGTGAGATTCAAATTACTTATATCGTTTGAATGGTGTACTAAAAATTGTCATGATGAGTGTCTAGGGAACATCACGTCAAACAAAATGGAAGAAACTCGTTCCCAGAATCATAGACTTTTCATTCATTACTCGGATTTATTCGGTGCAACTTCATTGTCGCGAAAAGCGACTCAGGTATACATACCTAAAAAACATTGGGTAATGTTTGTAGCTGATTAACAATGAACTTCTCAATGGGAATGTTTGATTGACAAGACGTTTCGTCAAAATATTTTATTCAATTACTTACGAATAATTTCATACCTGAGTTCATAACAGTTATTTTTATTGATATAGTTCTCATTAGATATTGCAATGGAAAATATACAATCTATATTACTTATACACTAGAGAAAAATAAATAATCGTATACCTAAGGATATATCATAATATAGGAATTATAGAAGAAGGCAATATAATATACAGCAAATTGTTCAACACTAAATCTATATATAGATACAAATGAAAACATTCGTTACAAAACAATCAGAAAACCTGACTCTTAGAAAATACAAAGGGTGTGAATTAATAACTACCAAATAATTCAAGAGATGATCTGCCCTTCTCATATTTTATATAAATGATAATTTTTGTGTAATAATATGTTGAGTCGGGAAATAGGTTGAATTTTTCATTAAAACACGATTTTTCATCAGTTATTCTGAAATCATTTGGTATATTATTCTGGAATATTGAGAGACCAATCAGATCGATTTCTGCTGCAAGGAAGCTCATTCAAATAAAAAGCAAGTTAGTCATAAGTAGTTTTTTTTCCATAAAATATCACCTCCTGAAATTTTTGGCACCCATTCATCCACACCCTGTATAGGTTACATATTGATGACATCGTTTGACATGCATGGGACATCATCAATCAAGTTGAATTAACTAACATTCAAGGATCTTCAATGAAACACCGTTATATATATATATTTATACATAATATATGAACAGTTCGTGAAAATGAAATGATAATAGGAATAATTATCAACAGAAGTGTTTCTTACAAGGTGTTCAGAGATGAAACCGACAAAACTCATGAGGTTACAGGGACTGTCGTTATAATTGCAAAATGCCATGGTCTCGGAACATACCCGAAGAATGCACCTTTGCCAGATGTGGTTGTAACACAATGTGCGTTAGGCCCACAATGTCTAGTACACGCGTTTAGCTATAGCATTTTCCTTTGTGGCTTCCTGAATTCCGAATACGTTATATGAGGAAGGGAAATATCCCTTCTGCATAAGAAAGGAGACTACCTACTTTCTCTAAACATTCTAACCTTGCTCGGCCTAAATGGACCTTCTCCCTGGGAAATATATTTTTCTGGATATTTCTTGAGAGAGCAACCCATACAGCACATGACATCCATTGGATGTCCATTTTAGGTTCATTACAATTCCAAACGTCCATGGACATTGAATGGACATCCAATGTACGTACAAACATGGATTATCATTGGATGCTCCAAATGGGCGCGTACACCTTAGTAGAACTTTTAACTCAAATCATGTTTATAATGATCCTTTTATACATAAATAATAATCGACGACATAATTCGATCGAAAAATTAACTGGAATGTTTTATTTTTGGACATAAATAATAGTACCTTCTGAAAACGGACCATCTTATGACGTAGAAACCTCATCTCGCCATAGTTAGAAGAAAATACCAAACGCCCGACGGAGACTGAGGCAACTGATATATTAATTCTTTCAACTGTGATCTCGCGCTAATTCACTTTGTCAGAAATCATGTATCATTCATGTCTGTCTGGAATAGTCTTGTTTCAGTATTAGGGTTTTGACGTCACATCATCGCCTCGTTCTCAGAGGTCCAAAAAATCGGGGATTTCAATATTTTTTTATGAAACGTAGGGAGCTCACAGCAAGAAACGGTTTGCGGTGGTGAGTTAGTTTGGGTGAGTTCTATCGAATTATGAAATAAAAAATTTTTGTGATATAGGCCCATTGTATGTACAGTAGGCACCCACTCAATGTCCAACCTCGCTTGTACGTAGAATGTACATTCATTGTACTTATAAAGATGGATGTACAATGTATGTTTCAAAATTACCGTCCGTTGGACATCCATTTTATGTCAACTCAAGGACTAAAACTCTCGGGGACGTTTGATCAACTTCCATTGTACGTACAGAGACGAACGTACATTGAATGATTCAAATTAAACTTACATTGGATGTCCATTTAACGGCCATTCTGAGTTCAAGCGTTAATGAATGAATAATGAATATTATATTTATATGTATATAAATAACTGTTCAAAGTAAATGTCTGTATGAAATCATTTTAAATCTGAAGGTTTATGGACGTTGAATGAACGTACATTGTACGTTCAGAGATGGACGTAAGACTATTGATTTTTCAGCCACATGGAGGGGAGGCAGAAGGTCAGATCGGTCGGTAGAGTAGCGGTAGCGTCTGGCGTGATTCTGATGCCATTTTCAGTTGGTAAATGACCGTAAACATGATGTGTTGTGTTGTGATGAATTGTGGAATGCTGAATATTCAGGACCAGATCATTTAAAGTAGGTATGAAAGCATGCATGTTCGAATGTGACTTGATATATTATCTAATATAGTTATAATCTTATGCTTTATCATCCTACAGGTTGTTATTGATTTTTAATGGGCGGCTCGATAGAAGAAGTACCTAAGTATATAGCAATGTAAATAAGACAAGAGTCTCGAGATCATACCCGTGTGTTCACCGAACACGCTCGATCGTTACCTAAGCGGTGGGGAGACCGAGACGTAAGCAGGCAGTCATGATACGAGAGGGCAGGCAGCTTCTCTCATGCTGTATTTGTTTTTGTAGTACGGGGTGGGCCACCAACAGTTTTCTTGATCACATTTCTTCAACATTTTTTTTTTCGAATAAATAATAAACATTTGATAGGCATCAAGTGATCTACTGCGACCTATCAGATAATGAAAGCGATGATTTGATTTGCAATAATTCGCTATGTAACGACGAGTCCTACATGTAAATAGCGAACCACTCATACATATTATATGCTATATGCTATATGCTTATGTTTTGTTGGCGAGGACGCTCGTTTTATTCAAATTATTTTCGATAATGTTCATCTGCTTCACTAGAAATTATTATTAGTAGTTATGTAGTACTTAGTAGTGTAGTATAGTAGCAGCTTTGTTATTCAAAATGAAACACCTTATATTTTACTACATTTTTCGATTCTTTTAATTGAGCTATGATTTCGTTGCTCAAGCTCAAGGTATACCTATACGTAGAATGTGAAACATCGAGATTTTTTTTGTATCGAAACTATACAATATCTATATTGATTTGTCAAAATGGCTTACATGTGTCCCTATCCTAACATTCTATTTACTATCTACTGATGCCATTTAATTGAAACGAATACAGGGTGGATCAGATTTCAGAATTATATAAAAGAAGTACTAGTATGCCTATACTAAATATATATATATATATGTATTTGAAATAAACAAAACAAATATATCACATAAAAAAACACACTCTAATATTCAACCTAAAATAAAATTCAATCCCACTGGATGTATTTAAAAATATATAAACAGTGTGCATGTCACTTCTATAATGGAATATCAACCCGTATATCTAACGTAACTGTTCAATTTTGAGGAGCGATAGATATATATACCAACTATGACCAAAGTGAGGTAATCTTCAGTGAAAAACACTGCTCTGGTCATGGACCCACCAACATTTCCGGAAAATGATATTAGGAGGCAAGATAGATTGAAAATCACTTCGGATTCGAAATCAGGACGTAACCCTGTACCTCGAATACGAAGCCAGTTTAGGACACATGTTTATATGACCTTTATTCATCATATTATATCACAAGGAATCATCCCTTGAATTATTTCGGTGTTATTTAGATACACCCTATATAGATCGTTCTTCATCCCAATATAGTTATTCAACATTTTTCCCATAGCGAAGTTCAGCAAATACCGATGGCGAGAGCACTATGTTTATTGATTTGATGTCTACCTATAATATATGTAAAACAAGAAGGCACAACTACTAGTGTTCCGTTTCGATGTACATTAAATTGACAAATTTGACTCCAAAATAATTCAGGCACTCGCCAATATTCATAACGTAGTTACTGCTGCCCGTTTACGTTTCCCCACCGCTTAGGGAACGATCGGGCGTGTTCGGTGAACACACGGGTATGATCTCGAGACTCTAGTGTAAATAAGGCTTCATTCACCAGTCAGGGTTAAGCTGAACAGGATTTGGGGTATAGACAATCGATTTCTACCTATATAGCAATTTATAATATTTCTCTTTTTTTACAGAAACAAGAATTTGAAGTGGACTGAAGAAGACATGAATCAACAATATATTCATATATATATGCAATCGACACCAAATATATATCTCAATAGAAGAATTTATATTTGCTACCTACTGATTTTTCATCATTTGATTCCCAAATATGAGCATTCATTATACACCCAAATGTAAACATCCAATGTACGTCCAAAGTGGTGTCCTCAAGACATCCAATGGACTTTCATTGGACGTTTAACGTCCAATTTGGTACGTCCAATGGATACTCAGACATGTACATCCATTGTGAGTCCAAATATGAACATCCACTGTACATCCACATGAAGACATCCACAGTTCGTCCAAAGTGGTGTCATCAGGACATTCAGTGGACGTCCATAGGATGCTGAACGTCCACTCGAGTACTTCCATTGGACGTCCTTACGATCCGACGTGGACGTACATTGTACGTACATTGGACATACATGTGCTGTGTGCAAAGAAGACTAAACACTTTCATAACAATCTAACCTAACTCGCACTAAAGTATATTTTCCAATAAATTGATTGAGGTAACAAGGGATACTACTTTTTCTGAACAATCTATAACCTCACTCAGCCTGAATCAACCTTTTTACTAGAAAGTATATTTCTCGAAAAATAACGCATCAAGCACAGTATATGGCAACAGTGCATCCTTGGGGTATGTTCGGACACTGTGGGAATATAGAAATGTGGTGCTAACGAAATGTGAGCCTATCGAAATGAAGGTCTAACGCAATGTAGGCATAACGAAATGAGGGCATAAAGCAATGTGGGTGTAATGAAATGTAGGTGTAACGCAATGTGTCGGTAGGCCCACAATAGGATGTATTTGGCAACAGTGCCTCCTTCGGGTATGTTCGGAGACTGTGGGTGTATCGAAATGTGGGGCTAACGAATTGTGGGCATATCGAAATGTGGGAACAACGCGATGTGGGAGTAACGAAATGTAGATGTAACGACACGCTCCCTTTGATTCTACATATTTTTCAGGAGGTTTGTTCCTTTGCTTTCGTTGATTCCATAGGAAAGCTAGAAACTACTTCTGGAGAGAAAATTTTACTTCATGAATTTGTGATGATGAATGAATGAAAATTAATATCTTATTATATTATACTCATTGAACGATTTGATTATTTCAGTCAGAATCGATTCGATTAAGTATCCAAGACTGAAATTTCCGAGAAACAGGAACAGTTAGCACTGATTTTGAAGTTACTATCACTGAATATGTCTTTGTGTTGACCACTTAATAGTTTCGTATTATAATCTCACAGGAACTGTAATAGTTATACATATTATATACATATCATCGATATATATCTACCTCTATTATTACTAGAAGAAGATTATTCAAGAGTTAACTCTGAGATCTATTGTAGCTACCTTTAAAGTCATAATTTCACAATTATCTTGTACTCAGAATTCCAAACTATGCTCCGAAGTACTCATCGGTGACAGGATCAGATCAGGACCTGCAAGAGAAATGAAATTATTAATGATAACAGCCAACAAAAAGTTTATATTCGCAATTCCCGCAGTTCGAAAATTGAAAATATCGTCAAATATCGTAGATCTCAATTACTTCTTGAAGAAATGACGATTCTCTGATGCCAAACCTATCCGTGATCGTGAACTCGATTTTTTATTGATGAAGTATATAATTCTATGGAGAATATTATGGAAAGAGGAAGTCATCTTCATTAGTTGAAACCCCAATTATCAATTATTTATCAACAGGCTAACCAAATGTCAAAAATAGTTATTTTCCTAGCAAATGCGCAAAGTATGTTACTTTTTCGCACGCAAATATAGTTAGGCGAACGACGCAAACAAGAGTATGTTGCTCTTTCAACACTTTCAGCGCCAAGAAGCTAAGGTTGAAAAGTTTCCACTTCTTTTTCCTTATCTGGCACTGGCGCGGTATTAGCTATCATGGCTAACACCTGGTCCTAATGTAATTATCGATATGACGTCACTGGAATACACGAATAGCTCCCTCTGTGGTTGTATTCATATTGCGAAACTACAATTAGAACATCCTTGAAACTCGAATGAACCTGTTCTGTAAATTCAGGTAGAAAATTCTCACAACACAGATCATTTGTTTTCGTTTCTTCCCATACATCTGGCACGGCATCCACGTTTTGGGTAGTATTGAATCCATGAATTCGTGCCTGCAATTTCCGATGATATGATGCATGTCATCTTGAATTGTAACAAAGTGAAGTAGTCTGAGGTCTCACTTCTATCTACTTTAATGTTATTATAAGAATCTTTCACGTGAGTCACATTGATGGTTTTTACACTTATATTTTGTTTTGTTTTTGTAACGTAAATACCATAGTTACTTTATACATCAGTTGTGACAGTGAATAAAATGAAGATATTGTCAATCATAATTATTATATCTCAAGATAACTTTACATGGTGTCAGAAGTTCTATCGAAAGGGGAGCTTTGAGAAATTGTGGAGATTCATACAAGGTATAATAGTAATATGCCGGATACAGCCGAGATAATTGCGGAAGTATCAGGTGTTAGTGGTGTTCGTCCTCCAAAGAATCTAGTTATAGATCATGAAAATATGTCTCTAACATGGAAAAATTGGATACAACAGTTTGAATGGTATGCCATTGCAACACAACTTTCAAGAAAAAGTCCAGAAATCCAAGCTGCTATCTTCATGAATGCACTAGGTCCAGATGTAATTACAATTTACAATAACTTCAATCTAACAGAAGCTGATCAAAAAAATGTAATCGTGCTGAAATCAAAGTTTCAATCGTATTTCATGCCAAAAACACATATTCCTTTTGAGAGATATAATTTCTTCAGGATTATTCAAAGAGAAGATGAAACTTTCGATGAATTTCTCACGATTATCATGACGCAAGCTAAAAAATGTGATTTTGGTGTCCTGCATGATAGTCTCCTGCGTGATAAAATAATTTTTGGGGTCAATTCTGCGAGTGTTCGAGAAAAACTTCTTACAGAAGATGAAATAGGACTTGAGAAAGCTATAGCCATATGTAAAGCTAGTGAACAGGCCAATAAACAACTCAGAGAAGTTACAGCTACGGAAACTAATCACATACATTTACTAAGGAATAGTTCATCATTGAACAATAAAACGGACACATTTCAATGCAGAAGATGTGGCACAAAACATCAAAGACAAAAATGTCCCGCCTATGGTTATAAATGTGAAATATGTAATAAGAAAGGACACTTTCAGAGTCAGTGTTTCAAGAATAAAAGTCAGCAGAAGAAGGTGAAAAATGTCAATGTTGTCGAAGATGAAGAAAACGAAGATAGTCCATCTGAAAAAGTTTTCTATATTAATTCGATAAAGAACAATGGTGAAGAGGATTGGCATGAAATGCTGAAAGTTAATAAGAAAAAATTTGAGGTGAAATTGGATACAGGAGCTCAATGTAACGTCTTATATAAGTCCTTAGCTCTGAAACTAGGAGGAATTATCAAACCCTCGAACACCAAGAGACTACTAAGTTTCAGTGATGATCAAATTCCAGTTATTGGAGAAGTGTCATTGGAATTTCAGCTCAAAAATATAGAGAAAACTGTACTTTTCAAAGTTGTAGACCAAGTTGTACCACCGATCCTTGGAAGAAGAAGTTGTATAGATTTGGGTCTAGTTGCCCGAATTCGTGAGGTCAAAGGCAATATTCCAGATGGAGATATTTTTGATGGATTGGGTTGTTTCAAGGATTTCGTCTATGATATTGACCTTATCGAGAACCCAAAATTTGAAATAAGACCAGCAAGAAGAATTCCCTATTCTATAAGAGATCAAGTGAAGGCAGAGCTGGATAGTATGGTCAAATTAGAAGTGATAAAACCTATAAGTGAACCTACTCCGGCTGTTAGTCCATTAGTTATAGTCCACCAGAAAGACAAACTCAGAATATGTATCGACCCTACTGATGTGAACAAAAATATTCTCAGACGTCACTATCCTCTAAAAACCATCGAAGAAATATCTGCAAGAATATCAGGATCTAAATATTTTACTTTATTAGACTGCAGACGAGGTTTTTGGCAGATCAGAGTCTCAGAAAGAACACAAAAATATTTGACATTTGCCACGCCTTGGGGAAGATACTGCTGTACACGTTTACCTTTTGGCCTATCATCAGCACCGGAAGTCTTTCAAGAAGCCATGAATTTCATATTGAAGGGTATTTCAAATACAGAGTGTTCCATGGATGATATCCTCATATATGCCAAAACCAAAGACAAACTTGACGAAACAACCAATCAAGTTATCGATAAATTGAGAAAGGCAGGATTGAAACTGAATAAAGAAAAATGTATTTTTGGAGTTACGAAAATGAAATTTTTGGGACATATTCTATCTGAAGATGGACTTTCAGTGGATCCAGAGAAGGTTTCTGCCATTAAACAGCTGAAAAAACCTACAAATAGAACAGAACTACAAAGATTACTCGGTATGGTAACTTACCTGAATAAATTCATCCCTAACATGTCTGAGCTTACTGAACCGTTGAGAAAATTGCTGAAAAAAGAAGTCGAATTCGAATGGAATTTTCATCAGGATGATGCTTTTGAGAAAATCAAGATTCAATTAACTCCACCACCGGTTTTAAGATTTTATGATGTGAAAAAGGACGTTACTCTATCGGTAGATGCAAGTTCGAAAAGTATAGGGGCCGTTCTAATGCAAGAAGGTCAGCCTGTTGCATATGCGACAAAATCTTTGACAAGTTCTCAACAAAACTATCCTCAGATAGAAAAGGAGGCATTTGCAATTCGAGCTGCTTGTCTAAAGTTTCATGAATATATTTATGGAAAAAATCTAATTATAGAAACGGACCATAAACCACTGGAAGTGATTTTCAAAAAACCTATACAGTGTGCACCTGCAAGACTGAAAAGAATATTATTTGATGTAATTCAATATTCGCCTAGAGTTATATACAAGAAAGGAACAGAAATACCTATCGCAGATATACTTAGCCGTGACTGCCATCAGCAAGAAAATGTCAATGCAGCTGAAGAACAGTACAAAATTCAGATTATCTTGTCCGTCTCAAATAATGCTAAGGAACAATTGATCAAAGCAACCAAAGAAGATGGAGAACTTCAAATCCTCATTCTGTATATATCCAATGGTTTCCCAGAGAACCAAATTGAACTACCGGAGAATATAAGGCATTACTTCAATTTCCGCGAAGAGCTCGCGTTCTATGGCGGGTTGGTTTTCAAAGGAGATGAAATGGTTGTTCCAAAGTCTGAAATTCCTACTATGCTGAGGAATATTCATGCAGGCCATTACGGAATTCAGAGCTGTCTCCGCCGAGCCAGACAATTACTATATTGGAGAAAACAATCTGAGGACATAGCAGATTTCGTTAATAAATGTAGTATTTGTGAAAGGACGCAGATATCAAATACGAAAGAAACTATCATTACTAAACAAAGTCCTGAACTACCATGGCAAATTGTAGCATCTGATTTGTTCAACTTCAAAGGTCGAGAATACATTGTTATATTTGACAGTTATTCCGGTTATGTGGACTTCAAAGCGTTGAGAACCCAGACTTCCAAAGAAGTTATAGAAAATCTCAAATATTGGTTTGCTTCACATGGTGTTCCCCAAATACTTGAATCCGATAATGGACCCCAATACACATCAAGAGAATTCAAAGATTTTAGCGCTAATTGGAATTTTGAGCATAGTACCAGTAGCCCATATCATCCTCGATCCAATGGATTAGCTGAGAGAGGAGTTCAAATTGCCAAAAATATTTTACGGGAATGTACATTGGATGGATCTGATGTTCAGTTGGCATTATTGAATTACCGCAATATACCTAGGAGTTCAACATTGGCGTCTCCTTCACAGCGTTTATTTAGTAGAATAACTCGATCTACTATCCCGATTGGAATTGATAAATTGAAACTCATGTCAAAGAAGAAATGGAAAAAGCTAGGAGCAAGCAAAAAAAATATGGCGACAGGCATGCAAAAGACTTGGAAGAGTTATCAGTTGGTGATGAAATCAGATACCAAACCGCAAAGAGGGAGTGGATAGGAGGAAAGGTGAAAGAGAGAAGAAATACAAGATCAATCATTATTCAAACTGATGAAGGAAAGTATGTGAGAAGAAATACTGGTACAGTTCATAAAACAAAGGCGAACATATCTAATCGAAACGATTTAGTTGTAATACCTAAATCTTGTGAGAATGTTACCCTCAATGATGATGATGTACCATCTCAGTTCAATCAAAGAGAACCTACTCTTCAAGATCATGAAAGCGGTAATGTTGTTGAAGAAGAGCCACGGAACAATAGATCTCACCCAGAATTGCAGCCGAACTTGTATGTAACAAGATCTGGACGATCAGTCAAACCGGTTGCAAGATTTGATGCTTAGTTGGTTATGTGTATTTTTATTTGTATATTCATCCATTTCTGTACCATTATACG